GAATGAAGCTCTTGTGTTCTTTTGTGGTTTTGCAGATAGGAAAGCCTGCACCTCCATCTCCCACCAAAGATAGGAGGAACAGCATGGGTTCACCCCTCAGAGGACCAGGCAGCCCCATACGGAGGATCAGCCGTGTTGAGAGGCGGTATGACTAATCACATGCTCTGCATAGTTCTCAGTATTTGCACTGGGGATGTCTTATGATCGAAGGCAAAAAGAAGGAGCTTCTAAATTAGTCACAGTTTGCTTCTTATATGAATCAACCTCGTTGTTGTTTCTAACATCTATTTTTTTTTTTTTTTTGCAGCCCCTCTGGAGACAAGAAGGTTTTGGAACAAAAATCCTCCACAGATATGAACGGATACCAGATTCGAGTCTGAGGAAGATTTTTTTTATTTTTATTTTTTTTTAGATAATTAGCAGATTTCAAAGCGCCACACAGGGTGTTAGATTTTGCCATAGAATACGAGCGTAACAGAACACGTTCATTAGAAAATTATATTATTTCCACACGTGCACATATTAACTGCCACCCAATCACAAGTCCTCATGCACAAATTCAATGACCGGGATGCAGCTGCAAGCTGGAAACAAAAAACACAGGGAGAGGCAAAGAATGGGACATGTGTCTGAGAGAGTTTCTGCTTGGTGCTGGAGGACACACGTGCTCATACAGGTTAATGCTATGGCACAGCTAAAGCTGTGAAGCGACATCATCTTTCAAATGTGTTTTGGTTAAAAGAAAAAAGCGCTAAAATGCAGCATAAAAACAGTCAGTATGCTGCATAATGGTACAACAACATAAAAAATGCAATATCAATTTTTAAAAATCTTGAGTACAGCAGTGAAATATGGATGCTCTGTGGGTGCAACCACAGCTCAGTGTAAAAAGAAAAACGCCTGCTCTGATGTTTTCACTTCTACTAAATTAGAAATTTAATGATCCAATCAGGAACGAAGGGCAGACCGTGTGAGTTGAGCGTTTTGCTGCAAAACAGTTATACCCACTGTGTAGCCTTACCTATTCAGGCTTAAAAACAGTTAAGGAATGCTATTCATTTGGATAGGCTAAAGAAAATCTTACAATGCACTTTTTCCCTGCCATTTTTACAATGTTTATATGTTACTTGACAAAAATGTTTTTACTTGAATTTCTTATGTGGACCCTTAATTTGGAGTCTCCGTTAACTCCGCCGCCTCTGGACTTCCTGTAACATTAGCTGTCAGTGACAGTACAAGAATCTCCATGTGGGTATGACTGTGTTTACGGTGACCAATCACAGTGGGGCCAGGAGATTTCTAACCCTCGAATCAGGTCGTGAGAGAAGCAGAAGCAGAATTTATTTTTTTAAAGCAGAGTTGACTTGTGAGTGTGTAAATTTCCCTCACGCTTGGGGCTGATCTGAGCTTTGTACACACAGGTACCCCTCTATGCCTCCCTACCCTTTTGTTTTGTTTCTCGCTCACAGATGCCAACGCTGCTCATTGAATTTGTGCCCACAGATTTAGATTTAGATCATGGAAGTGGCGGTTAATGTGTTACATGTCATATGACGTGAATCTGATATTTTCCAGGGGCCAGTGATTTAACCTAAGGTTTCTTTTTTTGTACACACTGGCCCGTTCACAGGATTCAGTGCTGAATAGATTACCAGCAACTCCTCGCAAACAAACGCCTCATTCAGCTTCCCTGTGTTGTTACAGTATTTTTCTGTAGCAGTTACTGTGCATAGAAATTGGTGCTGGCAGTGCTCCCAACATAAAACAGAGCCGGGGCACAAGTGCAGTAATATGTAAACATTATAAATGACTGAAAAAGCTTTAGCGAAGAAGCTAAAGCTGGACAAAAAGTACCAGCTCAGCTGCTGGACATATCACAGGTCCCTGTGCTGTCTACAGAAGCTCTCGAGGCTCGTCTGCAATCTGTCTAGTTGTACTGTAAGTGTGCAAATAAATGTCACGTAGTATATATCCACTTAGACTCTGCTGGGCAACCATTACTTGTGTAGTGACTAGTTTGCAAACCACTTCCCTCGTGCCTTGTGTGATAATTCAAAGAGGAGGATAAACACTTTTTTTAAAAACATCTAACCCATTATTCTTATTGCCCGACTAAACACAAAGCAGCTCTGCTCGTCTGAATCACTATAACATAAACACACGTGTCATCAGTTATTCTAACTGATAAATATAACATCTTTCACATGAGTTAAAGCCGATGAGTAATGCAGCTGCATTTATTGTAAAGTAACAACGAGGCGAGTTTGTGTGAACTGTACTTTTATTTGTAGCAACTTTATCAAATGTTTCACTTG